GGGGGCTCAGTTGCTTTTGGGAAGTCGCGGGTGGAGTCTTTTGGTGGGAGATTCTGTGGGTGTGTTTGCCTTCCTCCTGTGTCTGGGTCTGCCATTTTCATTGCTTCTCGTTCCTCCTTGCGTCTCTGTACCCTCTCTTTCAGTGTAGTCCTTTCTTCTTGTGTTCTGTCGCGGTCGAGGTATACTCTCTGGTACCCCTCTTTGTCCCTCAGTCTTGCTTTCTCTTGCAGAATCCTGGTTCGAACTGATTCTTCCTTGAAAGTTACTCTGACAGGCCGTATCCTTCCACTCGCAAACCACCCAATTCTCTGAAAATTTGTCACCTGGGTCATATTGCCCTCCCCTATTGTTTTCATGATGCCTTCAATCATTTTTTTCTCCTCCTGTTTTATTTCTTCAAAGTTGGCCCCCTTGGCTTCTTGGAGCCCGTACACAAAAACTGACCTCGCCCTTTCCTCCTCCCACTGAGTCTCCATCTGCTTCCTCTGAGGCATTTTATTTCCTTCCATTGACATGTTCTTGCCTTCAGTCCCTGTCATATCTGAAACTTCTATTCTCAGTGAACTGTCTTTCCTGACCAGCTGTCCCTTGCTACTGCAGTTGGATGTTAGAATCTCTGCATATAGCAAACCTTCATTGTGTGTGTGTGTGTGTGTGTGTGTGTGTGTGTGTGTGTGTGTGTGTGTGTTGTGTGTGTGTCTGTGTACTCATCTCACCTAATTATGATTGAAGGGGTCGATACTCAGCTCCCGGTCCCACCTCTTCACATTACATACCATTCAAAATAGCTTCAAAGATTAAAAGATAAGAATTATATGCTAAGCATTATTTTTCTCCTCATTTTCGGCATTTTTTTTCAGGAAATATTCTGTCCTTTGTGTAGTACAGTAATTAAACCTTATAACTCGATATCACATAAGCAAATTAACAGTGAACTACAATGTACAGTGATTCTCAACTTTTCCATCATCATAAACTCCCTCGGCTGGATATATTTTTCCATTTACCTCCTTTACTTCCTTTCAAAAAATTTATCGCCTTCATAAAGCGTCAGAAAAACAAGATGGTCAGAAAAAATAAATTATTCATTTATTCAATTATCAAGTACATTAAATATTTACCCCTTGCCAAGTAATTTCTCTCCCACCCAGGAGTATATTTACCCCCAGGGGTATATTTACCCCCAGGGGTATATTTACCCCCAGGGGTATATTTACCCCCAGGGGTATATTTACCCTCAGGGGTATATTTACCCCCAGGGGTATATTTACCCCCAGGGTATATTTACCCGCAGGGGTATATTTAAACCCAGGAGTATATTTACCCCAGGAGTATATTTACCTCAGGGGTATATTTACCCCCAGGGGTATATTTACCCCCAGGGGTATATTTACCCCCAAGGGTATATTTACCCCAGGGATATATTTACCCCCATGGGTATATTTACCCCCAGGGGTATATTTACCCCCAGAAGTATATTTACCCCCAGCGGTATATTTACCCCCAGGGGTATATTTACCCCCAGGGGTATATTTACTCCCAGGAGTATATTTACCCCCAGGGGTATATTTACCTCAGGGGTATATTTACCCCCAAGGGTATATTTACCCCCAGGGGTATATTTTTCCCCAGGGGTATATTTAAACCCTTGAGTATATTTACCCCCAGGGGTATATTTACCCCCAGGGGTATATTTACCCCGAGGGGTATATTTACCCCAGGGGTATATTTACCCCCAGGGGTATATTTACCCCCAGGGGTATATTTACCCCTGGAGTATATTTATCCCAGGGGTATATTTTCCCCCAGGGGTATATTTACCCCAGGGGTATATTTACCCCAGGGGTATATTTACCCAGGGTATATTTACCCCCAGGGTATATTTACCCCTAGGGTATATTTACCCCTGGAGTATATTTACCCCCAGGGGTATATTTACCCCCAGGGGTATATTTACCCCCAGGGGTATATTTACCCCCAGGGGTATATTTACCCCCTGGTGTATATTTACCCCAGGGGTATATTTGCCCCCAGGGGTATATTTACCCCTGGTTGAGAATCACTCGACTACAATCTGAATAAACTGCAATGCCATTTATTTACATCCGTGTCGACTTATTAAATCACTGATAACATGCCTCACGAAATCGTAATGACACAATTGCAAACAAACCAGACCACGGCTTTGAGGGGACTTGAGCTAGAGTTCATCAGTGCCATGCTAGCGGGAAATTCGTCAGTAAAAACTTGCATTTGTGGTCATAATGGCGCCTATGCTAACCTTCCTATGGTGTATAAATATACCTAGTTAGGTGAAAATTGTTGTAGCCACCAGGTCCAGTGGCTAAGGCGTCGGTCTGGTGTTTTATGACTCTCTGATCGCGGGTTCTAACCCCACCAGTGGTATGGTTTATATCACTAATATACAGTAAGGTATCATTTTAGGATAACAGTTCCATAACTATCACTAACCTTATATATTTAAAAATAATTTCCTTGTTTAAGATATGTCTAAGTCTCTGTTTCTTCATAACTTTCACAATTATATTTATTTATTTCTTGTTTATTAACACTTAATTTTCTTAAGATTAGAAAATAAATTTCTTTATATCTTAATTTATTTTCATTCAGAATTAATAGTTGTTAATGTCTTCTGTGAAGCGGCTGTTTTTGTAGTATTAATAATAATTGATTAACATATGTACTTCGAAATTAACTAATTCATATATATTTATTCTGTTAAATGTGTAGTATAAAGTTTGTTCATGGAGTTGGACGATAATTCTAAGCTTCGTTTTAACATTAGTTTTAACATATTTATTAATTTGTTATTATTGGCACCAGCGCCAGGTCCACCAGTCATCACGGAGGTCACCTCAGATTCTGGATCAGCTGAGGTCACTTGGACACCTCCTGAAGAAGCAAATGGTGTAATTTCAGAGTATGAGATCAATTTTAAGAACGATAAGAAACCTAAAACAGAAGGAGCGGATGGAATGATGACTTCGGTTACGGTTACTGACTTAGAAGAATGTGAGGATTATGTTATTACTGTTAAAGCTAAAACTGAATTAGACTGGGGAGACGAGTCAGACAGCTATTATACTACCATCAATGGTATTGGTAAGTTATGTAATGTTATTGTTTGTGAACTAACTCCAGTAATCATAAATATGTATTTATTACAATTAATAGTTAACAGAAACATAACATATACTCTTATCTAAGCTAAAATTTGTTTTTTACGTTAGTTGCACCAAGTGAAGTGAATTGTGATCAGAAAGGTTATACAGTCAATGTTTGCTGGACACCTTCTCCTGCAAGTTGCTCTCCTAAACCCACCTACATCATCACCTGGGAGGGAGACATGAAGTGGACAGACAATAATACACATGGTCAGTATTTATCCAGCTGCCTCAGAATCAGTTGGGACCATCTTTATCTCTCATATATAATATTTAATAATAAACAGCACTGATTTATTTAAATATAGTTTGTTTATAAGTTCGATGTAAAGCTGAAGAATTTCACTTTCCGAATTAAACAATAAACGCAGCTTTAACCTCATATTTTGATTTCAGTGGCTGGCAGCTTTTCCATGGAATGGGAGAATAACAGTTCGTTATGTCACCTGTTGGACACACTTGTGCCATATACAGAATACATTGTTGATGTCAGTGTGCCAGGCACCAACCCCAGCACCAACCAGCGGTGCTCCTCGTCGATACTCGTACCAGACGCTGGTAAGATGAAAATTACTCTGTAACAGAATAATTTAATTCACTGCTGTTTTATTATTGCGACTTTTTAATAAATTAGACGAACTGTAACACTTAGATATGTTCACTAAAACATGTGTCACCTGGACAGCAGAATATTTTATGATAATACAAATCCATGAGAACGGGAACTTTTATATTGGAGCTGGTGGAAGAAGTTCAGAGGTGCAGCAGTTGAAGAGACTGTCACATATGAGTGAGGCCCACACGTACACATAGGTGAAGCCTATAAGGTGGGCCCCAGATATAGAGTTGAAGAAAATTCAGAGAAGTACAGCCCTGGGACCGGAAGTAGATAAGGCCCATAAGGTGGGCCAGAGATTTAGCAAGTTGAAGATATTTTCTGTTTCAGAATTCCATGATGGTTCTTTGGCAGACAAATATTATTAGATTTAAGATAATTTTATTGACAAACTGATAAATAAGGCCACATGTTTCAACATCTTGGTATCGAGACTTATCACCGTGCATCAAGCCAACCTTATGTGTTGGCTTTATGCACAGTTCAGTCAAGTATACATACGTATACTTGACTGACTCCGTTAATTAGTATCGTTTTTATCCCCCCCAGAGCCTGGCAGCCACGACACAAACCTCTGTCAAAGATTTGAACACTTTTTTACAGGGAACACTAAAAAAAATCAGATATATAGATACAGTTTGTCACCAGGAGGATGTCCTTGTTGGGTGCCAGGTTCCAGGTTCAATTACCAGACGGAATGGCCAAGCAGCTTGAGCTGGCTTAAACTGAGGCTGACACGAGGGAAAATTTCACAGCATATCGATATAACACAGTGGGAACTTCAAGTTTAACCACCTCTCCTGCCTTGTTCCAATATAGTAGTATCAATCAGGTCCTAAAAGGACTTGCTCAAATTAAATTACAATCTAGTTAATGAACAACGTAGGAGAAGAGGACTTCATCTGACATCCCAGGTGCAATGGACGCACCAATGGTTTTGGTGGTTTGGGCTATTCCTCTTTTAAATTTAAAGACAAGTTGTCACTATATGGAAATGCTGTCGATCATTAGAGTCGACACTCACTTAGCACAGGTTTCTGACCTTATACTCATCACAGTTTTACTCTCAAGATGTCCTTTGAATAAATAAATAAGTCCTGGTCCCTTTGCTCCTTAACCCAGAGAGACATTTAGCTCACACGAAAGAGGGTGAAGAGTCTTCCCTCAGTGAATACATTAAGGTAGCAGCATGAAGTAATTTGGGCTCCCTGATTGAGGAATTACATTGGCCATATCCTGCTCCATTTTGTTCCTTTTAGACAATGATCTCTGAGGCTTTCAAACACAGCTCGGCTTCTACAAGCTGTTCACCCATCAACATTGCCCAAAAGCTGCCAGTAATGAGAGCTAATTAGTCACTCCCAATAAAAACAGAACATCAGTCACCACGACATTCAATGTTTTGCGATCTTGTAACAGATAAATCTTATTTTTGACATTGTATGGGCAACCTGCTAGTCAAGTGAATTAGCGCAAGGCAACATAGTATCGTGGGAAAGAGCTGTAAACCCCCTATTCTCCCCAACTGACAGAAAGAGAATTAAAATGGTCTCAGTGCTCTTTGGTCATGAAGACCCTGTGGAGGTCACTGTTACGTAGGAATTCAAAATTTTCCGCACTAGGAAGCCAAGTCTTGTATGGAGAATCCAACAACTTTCCGCAAAACTTCTGGCCTCACAGTTGCCTGCAAAGTGGACGCAATATTTATGTATAAAAGGGTGTCACTAAGAACTCACAATGCATGTCACTGTTTCGTGAAAGTAGCTTACTTATCATACAAGTAATTATTCAACACGACATATATATATGTATATATATATATATATATATATATATATATATATATATATAATTATATATATATATATATATATATATATATATATATATTATATATATATATTAATATATATATATATATATATATATATATATATATATATATATATATATATATATATATATATATATATATATATATTATATATATATATATATATATATATATATATATATTGACAAGAATGGTATTTAGATTTCAGGTTTATACTGCCGGATTTATGTATTATATATAATTGTCTATCACTGTGTTTTTCTTTGTTTTTCACAGCTCCTGGACCTCCTGTTTTGAAGGATCTACTAGTTAATCACACATCATTGTTGGTCAGTTGGGATCATCCCAGGATCGAGAATGGCTTCATTGGTCACTACCAAGTGTTCTGGAGGGACACAAGCAGGACACCCTGACGATCTCAGCTGGATGGAACAGCAAATTCCTATTACAATACTTGGTTTAAGTCGGGGATGTGTAAGACCGACAATGTCACTGTAAGGGCAGAGACATTATAGGATAGTGGGGAAATAAATTCTGAAGAAAAAACAAGCTTCCATCCACACAAATGAACGTAAGGTCATTGTTGTCAGGTTATGGTGCGGATGCCAGGTTTATTTTTAAAGGGAACGGGAAAATGTTCTCCTGGTTGACATGTGAGTTGCTTGCATCCACGACATTTTGACTTTCACTCGTGTGATAAAATGACATAAATTCATACTTCAATTAATTTATGATCATTATTAATATCCCATTAAATAAATTACAGATCTTCATCCATTCTTAGCTTACTCTAGAGAATTCTCTTCAATATATTACGTAAAATGACCACCAAGTACAACTAATGTGAATTTTATTGTGGCAACGTCTCGCTCATCCAGGAACTTTGTCAAGCTACCAAGAGCTTCTTGAAGGCCAGGAGCTTCATCAATGCTCCAGGAGCTGCATTCCAACGCTTCCAGGAGTAAAGCTTGACACAAAGTTTCCTGGAGAAGCGAAAAACGGTTGGCCACAATAATATGTCACATTAGTTGTACATGTGTGCTTTTACCTAACATATTGTCGGTAATTTTACAATTATTTTTACATTTCTCTTCAAATCTTGTAAAATGTCTTCTGGTCAACTATATTGTTTTTTTGACGGCTGTGTGCGTAAATACGAAATTTTTCATGCAAAAAATAACATTGCGGGCGCCTTACTGGTCATTGTTATGTAGGCCTATGCTGTTTGGTTCAATGTTATGTAGGATCATGTGGTTTCTGTGTCATTGTTATGTTGGCCTATGCTGGTTTGGTCAATGTTATGTAGGCCTATGTGGTTGCTGGTCAAATGTTATGTGGCCTATGCTGGTTCTGGTAGATGTTATGTAGGCTATGTGGTTTGGTCAATGTTATGTAGGCTATGCTGTTTGGTTCAATGTTATGTAGGCCTATGGTTGGTTCTTGGTCAATGTTATGTAGTGGTGCTATGCTGAGTTCTGGTAAATGTTATGTTAAGCCTTATGCTTGGTTCTTGGTCAAATGTTATGTAGGCCTAATTGCGGGTTCTGGCAATGTTATGTAGACCTATGTTGGTTCGGGTCAAATGTTAAGTAAGGCCTATGCTGAGTTATGGTAAATGTTACTTAGGCCTATGTGGTTCTGGTCATATGTTATGTAGGCCTATGCTGGGTTGGTTAATGTTAGTAGGATATGCTGGTTCTGGTCAATGTTATGTAGGCCTATGCTGGTTCTGGTCAATGTTTTGTTGGCCTATGCTGGTTCTGATCAATGTTATGTAGACTATGCTGGTTCTGGTCAATGTTATGAAGGGCATTTGCTGGTTCTGGTAAATGTACTTAGGCCTATGTGTTCTGGTCAATGTTATGTAGGCCTATGTGGTTTCTGGTCAATGTTATGTAGGCCTATGCTGGTTCTTGTCAATGTTATGTAGGCTTCATGGTTTCTGGTCTATGTTATGTAGGCCTTGCTGGTTTGGTAAATGTTTTGATGGCATATGCTGGTTCTGGTCAAAAATGTTATGTAGCCTATGCTGTGGAGAAATTTTCTCAGGATAGGGGGGTTATCAGCCCCCTTCAGCCCCTTTCAGCCCTGAGTGGCCCAGGCCCTTAGAAGGGGCAAGCATCTGTTTACAGCTACAGTGAGGTAATGATCACAGATGCCGTAACGAGTATGTGACCAGGCGGTCAACGCCATTGTCCGTGCAGTCCAGTGTTGCAGAGTGATTTTAATAAGAGACAGTACAACCCCCCCCCCCCCCCCCCCCCCCCCCCCCCCCCAAAAACCAAACCCCCAAAAAAAAAATTTATCTCTTTACTTTAGCAGGACAATTAAGGAAAATCCTGCTCTCAACCCTTCGTTACCATAGTCAAGATAGTGGGACATTGTTGGTCTATGCTTAAGACAGCAAGAATCAAACCTTTGCTTTGCTTCATCGAGGAAGTGGCAAGGAGAAAAAGGTACTAGGTCAGCTTTTTTTTGTGCGGGGCAGTGACGGCATGGGGCGCTGTGGCGTCTTCAGTTACTTTGACTCTACTGAGAGTGACACTGACGCCAGGATAATAACAAAGAACAACGATCTGTGCGGGTAGTGTGAACAAAGTGTCTCACAAAACACAATAAACACTTAAGAGAAGTGTGATCAACTTCTCTTGTGATAAGATTGTGAACAATTAAAGGAAAATTCTTGTGGAACATAGTCGTACCAGTGTGCGTATCTAGACAATGGAAGACGTGGACATCCAGGACACTTCAGCTTCTACAAGTCACGATACTGTCAGAAGGTCGTGAATGAACAACATAGCTCACGTTTTAAAAAGCAAGGTATGTTTCGAATTTCTTGTAGAACGGGGGACTGCGCAGATTCTTGAGTCCGCATGGTGTTTGTAATCAACCTATAGTGGCAGTAAGGTGCGGACTTTTGAGTCCAAACAAGTATTGTATTTTGTCAGCCATCAATAATGAATTGCTGACATAAAACCACCCTAGGGGTAATTTATAATCTTACAAATTATAATTCTTGACAGCACGTGTGAGTTTGGTTTCGTCAGCTTCTAGACCTCGTCTGCAGGGGTGGCTGTGCAGGCGTTGAGTTGTCTTTAAGTTAAGTTTTCACTGTTTAAACTTAGTGGTAATGCCATTTCTCAACAAAGTATGGTCGTGCTCTCGAACGGATATAAAGGCCACCACTGTGGTCCAGATATGTTGTAATACAGTGTACAAATAACCTACGAACCAGGTCCTTCGAAAAAAGAATGTAAAAACTAGGTTTTACAATATAAATTTCAGTATTAAATGAGTCCCTCAGATCAATCAAAGAGAATGGGCAGCCAAAAGAAAACGGGCACTCACCCCAAACGGGCGTTCACCAAAGGAAAACGGGAGATGGGTGACTCACCCAACAAGAAAATGGGGGATGGCACCTCCATAACCACTGCCTCCAATTCTCGAAAATCGCTGACAAAGACTACATAACCCAAGTGATGTTACGGTTTGTCTGAGTGTATATATACACATAGTGTTATAATGTTTATAGACAGTAATTAGACGACAAGATTGTGTTAAGTTTGTTTTCTCATAGATCTACCTGTTATATTAAAGGGCTTATATATAAATGTAAGCTTTCAAATATATATTTACAGTGATCATTTATCTATGTATAAGGTAATATCATGTGGGATTTACAGTTATACGTGATTTATGTGTATAGTGATGAAGTGCTATAACATCGTTAATTACGATTAATCATCGTGGTCAGGCTGAACAGCAAACTCAAGTCATATACAAACCAGCCATATGTACTCTGTACCCTTCATGGTCATTGACCCTGAGGTTATGCTTAGTGGGTCAGTTAGTGTCTGACTCGATTTATTGCTGACTTGAGCATAACAAAAAACTAGCTGTATATAGAGTACATGTGTTTTGTAAACACTCTAAGTGTTGTGCATAGAATTTTCAGTATACCATTAAAATGGCTTGTTTGAATACTCAGTTTCAGTCTTTACAGACTAAGATTACACAAGTAGAAATCTAATTTCAGTGTTATAGGATTAATCAAGATACAAAAATAGATTTCCTGTATGATCTTGAGGTCACACAATTCGAATTTTTTACAAAAGTCTGAAATAATTAATTCAGACTAGACACATTATGAAATAAATTTTTGAATCAGATCCGTCTGAGGATGAAATTAAAAATGTTGGATACTTTTAGTAATCATCAAATTAAGGGGGACAGGAGTACTGGCTATCTGCCGCAAAAACTTGTCCAAAGACCTACTGTAACAGTGGTCAACACCTGTTACACCTGTAACAACAAGTGTCCCATTTACCAAGCTTTACTACATTGTCATTACCTATTTTCCAAGGTCATAATTATGAAGAATTCATTAGTGAGTTTTCAATCTAGTAAATTCACGAACTGACTAGAAGAGATATGGAGAAGTTCATTATCTTAAATGTCTCGTGAAGGAGAACCCTATGAACTGATTAAGTCTTTCCGGTGGTTCAAAGGCAATTATCAAATAGCCTTACGTGTTTTGCAGGACCAATTATTTGATGCGACAAGGCCAGAGTTGACAGCAGTCTTAATATCAAGCTTGAAGCCACCCAAACATTGTTTTAGACTTACAAGCATTTTAAAATCACATTTGACAATAGTCTTAGATCTCTAGGTTGTAAATATGACCTAAGACAATTGTGATTGTTTATCAGTGGTATTGTACAAGATTAAAGTTGTCACCACAAAATATTGAACGATTAAATATTATGTTCAATACACGCTTTTCACTTGTCGAGGAAATTAGCAATGTTTACAACAATAGTTTCATGCATGCAAGCAATGAGACAAGATGAAAATTCACAAATCCCATGGATAACAAACCTTTCTACTCAGTGTAAAAAAGTATATGGTACTCCACTAAAACCCAGAATGGGGAAAATCCATGTAGGCATTTATAAGCTGTGAATACAACAGACATGTAAACAAACTGTCATACATAAACGTACTCCAAAATGTGTACTTTGTGTGGAACACTTGGCACAGTATTGTTTTCAATACCACATCAATGGAGGCACGTAAAACAACGTGTTCATCAGCTTGAAAAGGTTCATCAAGTGTTTAGGTGAAAACACAAGGGAGGTAACATGCTCACTGAAGAAGTGTTTTTAAATGCCAAGGGTATGCATATATCAGCATTATGGCCAAAACTTTTGCTGAACAGCAGAAGGGAATTCCACAGAATCAGGATGTCAACAAGCATCAGCATTAAATGTGAGAGCTGATGTCGAAAAGTTTAAAGCCACTGCTCTCCCGATAGTCTCGGTATCTAATAAATTACGCAAAACACAATGTGCTAACACTATTTTGATCAAGGCTCACAAAGGTTCCTTCATAAGGAAGACAGTGTTGCAGAAAC